GCCTCCTGCTACAGGGACTGCTGCTGCTGGATGTGCTGGAGAGCCCGTGGGAGCACAGGAGACTTGCCCTGGTCCTGAGCCTCCCTCCAATGCCATGGATTTGTGCTCCCAACTAAGCCACACTGCCAGGACAGTGTTCTGCAGCATCCCTTGTGCTTGAGTTGGCCTGACTGTTCCCTGTCCCTCCTTTGCAAGTCAGGATAATTTTTGTCCATAAAGCTGGGTTTCAGTGCTGAAATCCATGTTTCTTGTCTTAACTGCCACGTTTGTTTTTTTTCCTCAGGATCAAAGGCTGGTGGGTGTCCCATCACTACGTTTCCACGTTCCTGTCTGGAGTGATGTTGACGTGGTGAGTCTGCTCTCGCCTGCTCAAGGTGCTTCAAGCCTGTTTCACGGTGTTTATGTCATCTGAGCATTCAAATTCAGCGTGACAGGGAAGCTGTGGCCACATGGGCTCATGACAGAGCGTCAGACTTAATGTTTGTTTGATGTTACAGATGTTTCCAGCGATAAATACAACACTGCAAGTTTGTATTTATGTTGCTGGTTTAAAAAAAGAAAGAAAGAAACACGAACCTTACAATGTAGTTGGGGTGGTGGTAGCAAAGCCTCTGCAAGGCTCCAAATTTCTGTCTCTGTAAGTAAGGAAACGAGCAGCACTTTGCTGCTGTAGAGGAAGGACACCACAAAATGAAGGTTTGGTGCCTTTATTAAACCCTGATTACAGAGTCCAAAGCCAAAAATACAGGTTACCTTGCAGTGGGTGGTGGTGTCAGACAACCCAGCGATGCACCCCATGGACGGCCCCCATTCAACCCATCTCATCTTGGGCATGAACTGATTAGTTAATTATTAAAAATTGTTTTAATTATTAGAAATCATAAGGGGATGATGTAGTTGCTGGAGCAGAAGATCCCTTGTCCTCCATCTATCCTGAACTGCCCTCAGGATAATGAGCACAACCCCCCCCTTCTCCACCGCTCGAATTCTTGATGCAGATGATGCTGAATGGCTTTGCTGCCTAAAGAACACTGTGATAATGGCAAAGATTTTTATACATGTTGGAGAGGGGAAACCTAATCAATGAGAGTGTTTCCTGTGTGGCTGTAGCACCTCTCTGGGCTCCCAGTGGGGTGGAATGGGCTGGGTACCAGCTGCTGGTTCATTTGCTAATGGGATGAGGCTTGGTGGTGAAGAGGAAGGGCACTGTGTCACCTGCTTTTAGCAAACTAATGGACCTCCCCTGTGTTTTGCTTCCAGGCCAGATGGACTCATGTATCAGATGTTTCGCAGTCAATTTTTAGCATTTTCAATATTTCAGAGTGAGTATTTCTTACCTTGCTAATTCACAGGATAAAGTAATTTTGTGTTTTTACATGCTTAGAAGAAAACAATTCTGTTTGGTAAATACTGGAGTATTAAACTGTAGGAATATAAAGACAGTGTACAAATATGCAGTCTACAAATATAAGCAATAATTAAATGCTCTTGGATTAAATATTATTAAAGTAATTTGATACTTATCATACTTCAGAATAGCCAGAGCAGTGATGTCTTCTCTTTCCTTCTCCAGGCTGTGTTCAGTTCCTACAGTATTATTACCAAAGGGGCTGCCTCTACAGGCTCCGGGCTTTGGGGGAGAGAAACCACTTGGACCTTACAGTCGGTGAGGTTTCCTGCAATACATTTTTTGCACAGTTTTGGCACGGGTTTTGGATGCAGTGATAGGGAGGGAGAGGGCTGTGTGGCCTTCGAGAGTGAGCTTTGCAGAGCTGCCCCCCTGCCTTGCTGCCTGTGTCCCAAGGCAGGAAGGAGAGCAAGGTTTTTATCCTTCTCCTTAGGTCCTGTGGGTCAGGAGCAGAGGGATCTGATCTCTGTCAGCTTTTGAGGGGGTCAAGATGGAGGTTTTGATCCCCATCTTCATCCTCCTTCCATTATCACACCTTCAAATTGGTTGGTTATTGCAGAGCAGGACAGGAACAACCCTTATGGGGTGGTCTGGGTGGGGAAGAGCTGCAGCTCCAGTCCTGGCTCTTCTGTGCTCACACTCTGCCTCGTCTGTCAACCTTTTCCAGAAGGATTTCAGTCCTGGATGTGGCGGGGGCTGACGTTTCTCCTTCCCTTCTTGTTCTTCGGGCATGTAAGTTGGGCAGTCCCGTTCTCCCCTGGGTGCAGTGTCCCAGCACCACACAAAGGTGCTTTGGATCACACATACCCATGAAGAATGTTTCCAGGGTTTCATTTTTATTTTGCTAGTAATGAAAATGCGGTTTTTTATCCCTTTGCAGTTCTGGCAGCTCTATAATGCAATCACGCTTTTCGGATTGTCAAGGCACAAGGAGTGCAAAGAATGGCAGGTGTGTGTTTGCACGGAGCAGGGGGAGAGGGGATGTTTAACCACATCCTGAAAGATATTTGGGCATCTGACCCCAATTAAATATTTCAGCATAATGCAGCACAGGGCCTGTTCTATGTCCAGTAGAGTCCAGCAGTGTTGAATATAATCCATGTTGTAATAGTTTAAAGTGGTAAATGCAGCTTCTTCTCCCCTCTCAGGTTTTTGTGTTGGCTTTCACATTTCTGCTGCTCTTCCTCGGGAACTTCCTCACTACTCTCAAGGTGGTGCACACTAAACTCCAGAAAAACAAAGACAAAGTGAAGAAGCTGTGAACCCCCCCATTCATAGTGTGCATCCCTCTGCCTGCAGCAGGGCTGGGTTTGGGACAGATCCTGCTAAAGCCCAGCTCAGACAGATGGGCTCGGGAGGACTCGTCTGTCCCCGTGTTTGGCAAAGGACTCTGCCAGCACAGACTCAGTATTATCTCAAGCATGGCTCTCCAGTCTGCAGTCCTGCTATTTATGTATATTTAATATAAAATGTGTTTGCTTCTGTTTTTTTTTTTTTTCTTCTGTATATAGAGCAGCATGCACCTGCCTGGCAAAGCACCAGCGTTGGGGGAATGTGGGATCTACTGTAATTCCAATTCTGGAATGATATTTAACACTTTCCAGTTTTATTATTTAAATTCTGGTAATTGAATTTGCAAAGGGTTATGAACACTCTGGGTGGATCAGGAATACAGAGCGAATGCTGTTTTTCAAGGCATTTGTTTAAGGCATATTTTCAGTGGCAATACTAAACCTGTGTGTACTGTGAAAAGAAAGTGCTCATCTTTGTACCATACTGCTGCTATATACACTTTTTAAAAGCTGTTTAAAGAAGAGAAATTCTCTTTAGAAAACAAAATCAAGCAAGCAAAAGCAGTTTTTAAATGGCAGGGAAGTCTGCTATCCCTTTTCCAGGGAGACCGAGTCATCTGTCCAGGCCTGAAAGGACCTAAAATAAACCATTCAATATGCAGCTGCTTCAGCCCCTTTTTAGTAACACACACACTGCCCTTGGGTTGGTTTTTGAAACAGCATTCTGGAAAGGGGAGGACAGAAATATTAAATGCTCTCTTCAGATGCTGCACTTGTAAACACTGGTTCAGGAGGGTGGCATGGGACAAACAGTGCCTGCCATCCTGCTAAACTCCTTGTGCTGCTTGAACCTAAACTTGCTCATTAAAACACCCTTGTTTTGGGTGCTGTAACGTCTGTGCATCCTGAGCCAGCTGCAGCACTGAGCTGCCTTAGGCTGTGTCTTTCTCTGTGGGGAAGGTTCCCTCGGAGCCAGCACAAAGCCCAAATTGGGCACATCCTTGGGCAGTGTCTGAACATGGTGCCCTTCTCCCCCTAAACGTGTTCATGAGGGAACAGGGACACAGCACAGATGGAAGTGGTTCCATCAGTGCTGTTGCTGCAAACAAGCAGAATTGCCTTTGCGGTGTCACTGTCCTGTGGGCATGAGCAGTGAATTGCAATTTGAATATTTTCAACAACTTTCACACCAGCTGGGCTGCATCTTGTTATGTTGAATTTTGCACGCCCTATGAGGTTTTTAAATCCTTTGAACTCTCAGTTTATGAAATGTAAATTGCTTTATTTTGAGAGTGATGCTGGAACCTGCTGTATCTGAGCAGTGGAGCTGGTTCTGCAGGGGTAACGTGAGTTCTGCAGCATGAGAAACTCAGATTAAAAACTCTGAGAGATTTCCACTGGAGCTGATGGTAAATGTGGTCACTTCCTGTGCGTTGGTGTTTCAGTTTTGTACTGGGGAAGGTGATGGGTGGCTGTGTATCTTTTACTGACAAATGTCTTCTTGTGGAGAAAAGGCTGCACGATTCAAGATTTTTCTATAGTCAAACGTGTGCATTATTTCTTTTAATTTTCCATTTTAAGCTCGTAGGGATTCACAAGCCTTAATTAAATCAAAGCAAGTTAAGAGAAGAACAAACAAAAGATTTTTCAAGGATCAAGATCTCTTTACTCTGCATGTAAAACAAAAATAATAGCTTGCTCCAAAAGAGAATTTTTCACCAGCTGCTCATGTAACAAGCAGAGGATAAAGTTGCACAAAATCTGTACAATGTACAGTTATAGTTAAGACAAAACTTCATTTCTGTCTCTTCAAAGGTGCCTGATAAACTGCTTTAAATATCACTACTTCTAAAATACGTGGGTTTTCAGCTTTTCTGCTTGAAAAAGACAGCAAATTGTAGCTATAACATGCCACAATTATATTGCAGAGGAATAAAAAAGCCACTAAGTCATACAGTAGTGGTTGCTGTTCATTGCAATTTAAATAGTGAGTTGTTTGCAGTTAGAAGCAAAAGCCAGATGGGCAAAGGCACACAGCATCAGTTAACTGTGACAAAGAGCTTTGAAAACTTTGAGAACAACGTAACAAAAGTGCAAAAATACTAAAAATAATTAAAATTTTAAAATAAAAATTGTTCTAGGAATACAAACATGTAATGAAAAAAAAAAGGTCTTTAAGGTTAAACTATTTATAAAATCTGAATCACTTGGCTCTTGTGCAGTCCAGATCATAACACCGAGCACACTTTCCTTTTCCTGTGGCGTTTGGCTTTTTTCATGGCATTCAGTGCAATGGTTGTTGCTTCTTTAAAAACATTTTCTATGTTTTCCCGGCATTTTGCTGAGCATTCCAGATAAACCTCTGCGTGAATCTCCTGACAAGCTGCCTCTCCCTGGAAAGAACAAGAAAAGGTAAGAAAAGATGTGAATCTGGTGAGTGAGAGAAGGAAAGTGAAATGGGGAGAAATGGGAATTATTTTGCACATCTTTGTATCACAGGGTCAGGAGGAGAGCAGCTGCCTCTGAGTGCAGTGCCAGAGTGAGTGGTATTAGTAATATACTAAGGCACTGTAAATAAACTTGGGGTTTTTCCACTATGCTGATCCAGAGCCTGGCCTGAGAGTTCAGAGCACTAGAGACTCTTAAGATGCAGAGTCCTGATAGCACAAAAATATTCTCAGTATTGAATTTCTTTAAACTAATTGCTGAGGTAGATACTTAAGTGAGGATAAGATGTCTACATGGCGATATTTTTTTTCAGGCCTGACCTTAACTACTCTGTGATGTCACCTTGAGTAATGAATGTCACATGCAAGAACAGAGTCTGGACTGGTGCCTTGCCTTGTTTTGCTGGTGCACATGCAGGAGGAACCTTGAGTTTTGCTCTGAAGCATCACAAGGGCTCAGCCAAAATCCTCATGTACACAAATGGGAGCCTGTGTTTCCCAGCCTCACCCAAATGCATGCAATGGGAACAGACTCGAATCTAAAACATTTCCATGCAATCCTGGCTGTGTGAAATCACTACAGACAAAACACAGCAATTTCTTACTTTGCTTGTGATCCTTCTATTGTCAGTGCAGGGCCAGCTCCCAGGTTTGAATGCTTGTGAGCCTTTCACTGTGAATTCCAGGTCTGCAACCCACAACTCACAAAGTGCATTTATTCATTATAAGCCCTGGGAGTGGAGTCACTTGAGCACTTGGGCTTCTATAGGGGGGATTTTCTTCATATTTAAGCAGTTTGTCTCCTTCCAGTTGTTTGCAAGCTGCAGTGCTGGCAGAGACTGTTCAGCTCCTCTGTGCCTGGTATTGGAAGCATCATGTCGTGTGACTCAAGATGCCACCAGCTGTAAAAGACTGAGGTAGTGCATATTTCAGGGGAGAAAAACCAAGTGGGAGGGCTCACAGAGTAGACATCAGGTGGGCCCTTGAATTTAACTGCATGAAGCCTCAGCAGACTCGCCAGAAGTGTCTGTTGTTTGCCCTGAGCCTCACGTGCGAGGGTGGTGGAGGGAGTTATTTGTGCAAATGAGGGACAGTGTGCAGCTGTTCACAGTGACAGGGGTGGGATCTCATCTTGTGTGCAAGGGAGACAAAACTAAAAGGCCCAGCATGGTTTTGTGGTGATGCAGTAGCAATTTATTTTCATGCTGTTTAGCAAAAGTGGTGATTCATTCAAGGTCAGAGTGCTCTTGACCTTGTTCCCTGGATGTGTGTCTCAAACAGTCCAAAAGCTGCTGCTCTGAGGTGAAAGAAGGATGGCTTTGTAGTTTTAAAAAACAAAAAAAAATGAAAAAGTGGAAGACCAGAGCAAAAAGGTCTTGTGTGACATGGGACAAGCGTTCCATCACTTCCTCCTGTACCTAGGAGAGCTATACTGGTGATGTAACATTAGTTATTAGTCTCACTGCTTCAAAATACTTAAAAACATCTGATTATATGCAGGGATTTTAGTATTGCTTTAGAGACTTCAAAAAAGCCTCTCACGTTAGAGAAGCCTTGCAGATGTTCTTGCTATTTGCCTTGAAAGGATTTATTTTTAAATAGGGTTTGCAAACCACATTTATTCCAGAACAGTCGGTATATTTAATCTTGTAATGTGTATTCTACCATCTCCAGTCTTTATCCCAACCCTGATCAAAGCACCAGTGATGGCTGCAATGTAGGCTAATAAAAACTATGAAGGGAGTCCAGCAAACTTGTTAAGGCTTACAAATTTGTAACAGTAACAACCCAGCTGTGAAAGGAAATAAGAACGACACATAATGAGAATAAAATATGTAGATAGTAGTGTCCTTTCAGACACCCCACAATATGCAAAATGCTCTGATTTCTCTTTACTTTGGCAGTCAAAATGGTGATTTGTCCAGTTCCAAGAAGGACTTACAGAACCCCCTGTTAGTGCTGGCTGCCAGTCATTTCTTTAGCTGGACACTGCTAATTTTGGGGGGTCTGGGATCGTCCTTGTGAGGAGCAGTGCCACTGTGTGTGTTTTATCTCCTGCTAAGGGGCCACCCCTTTAAATCCCCCTGCATTTACCTGGTTGTAAGTGATGGGCTCCTGCTTGGAAGCCCTGAGCTTGCGCAGCTGCTCCTTGTCCTTCCGAAGGTCCGTCTTGCAGCCGATGAGCACGAGCGGGACCCCTCGGCAGAAGTGATTCACTTCAGGGTACCACTGGTGGTAGAGAAACAAAACTTTTACATCTGGCTTTGGTTTTGTTTCCTGAAATCAAAACAATAAAGCCGAAGAGCAGAACCAGCATTTAACATAAGCTGCAATTTCAGAGTTTTGGAGTGGTTTATCCAGTGGTGGGGGCCCAACGTGCTCTGTTTACACTACAGAAATGTTTACAAGTCCTACCCAAAGTCAGCTGCTGTATAAAAACACAGTGGCATCTGTCACTAGGCCAAAATGCTTATTTAACATCTGTTTAAATTCAGATGAGATCCTCTAAAGTCATATTTAAAACAGAATTTGGACCAAGTCTTGCTTTGTTTTGCTGGTACTGTGTACAAGAGCACTAAGTTTTGCTTTGAAGCATTACAGAAATCCCAGTAGGGACAATTGGTTGCTCTCATCTCTCTCCTGTGTTAAATATGCATGTGGTGGAAGTAGACTTGACTCTAAAATGCTCATGTGCACTGTTGGTCGTTTGACATCCCTACAGATAAGGCAGTGATTTCACCACTGCTCTTTGATCTTTTCAGTGTGTGTCAACCCCAGTTCTGAGCACTTTTGAGCCGTGGAGAGCTGAGCTCCAGGTCTAAGGTCTGTGACCTGCGGCTCAGCACACCATGAGTGATCTGTGCATCTACACACCCAGGGTATGGGACATTAAAAGCATCAGCATTTTTAATCTGACATCTTGTCATATATCAGGCGTCTGTAATTCATTTAGAAGGCTGAAGCAATTAGGAGAGGCTCTTACCTTGGCTGCTACATTGTCATAGCTAGTGGGGTTCATGACATCGTAACAAATTAACACGACATTTGTGTTCTGGTAAGAAAGAGGTCGCAGCCGATCGTAGTCCTCCTGCCCTGAGACACAGAGAATGGTTTGGATAAAAGAAATCTGTCCTGAACGAGCAGTATGATGGGAATATGCACAGACACATACTTGAGACCAAGAACAATGGCACTGTAATTGTACAGACTGCAAGTTTTTCATACTTGTAAAATTCCTTCCCTTAAGTACAGGAGCTTCCCCTTCAATGACAAAGCTGATGGTTTACAATATAAAACACATAACAGTAATATTAAACCTTCAGAGGTTTTAATAAAAAGCCTGCTTTATCCACCTGCTAAGGACTTAGAAGCAGTTATAACCATTGATTGCCAAGTTGCTGCTCAAAAGCAAAATCATCAAGAGGAATCTGACGGTTATTGATTAAAACATTTGCAATGTGGCAGTGGCTGCATTGTGCCAAATACATTTGCACATGTGATGCTCTGAGGAGAAGAAACACAGTAGTTGCTAGACACAAATGCTGAAGCAGAAAAAAGTGGCAAACCTGCTTTTCCCAGCCTGGTGGGATGAGAGGAAGCAGAGATTACACACGGTGCCTTCAGCTGCAGCAGCACGCACAGGGTTGTACAAGCCATGCTTGTACAAGCCATGCTGCAGCATAAGCCAGGCTTAACTGGCCTTTGAAGTAGGACTCCCCAGCAGATCTTAGGGAATTCTGCTGAACTCTGGAAAAGCCGGGGATTTGCCATACTTCTGATTAGGGATATTCTAGCACGTGATGCGACGAGAGGAAGCTGATTTGCTTCAGACCTGTGCTCTTCCCCTTGCTGTACATATGAATGTGCAATAATCACTGTTCTGGGGTCTGGAGGTGTCTTGCTTTGAGAGATTAAGTTCTGGAAAGCAGTAATTCCCAGATACGGTTGGCGGCTCAGGGGAAAACCCCAATCTTTTTCATTTAATGAGGAAGAAAGTCTGTAAGAAGATGTATTTGCCACCTGAATGCTGCTGCTGGATTCAGGTACGTCTCTGTGATGTACTGAATTTCCAAAAGGAGAAGTGGGAAGGCTGTTCCTTCCCATGATCACCACAATCCACACACAGCCAAGAAACTGCCCTACAGGGAAGTTACACATCTTAAATCTTCATACTGATATTTCAAACGAAGGGATGTGGAAAATTCCAGTGTGCCCCAACTTTACAGCAATGATTCCTGCCCTGGCACCCGGCTCAATCCCAAGTCACTCATCACTACCCACATGTTTGTCTCCAGTCTGAAGAACTGCAGACATCAGAAGGCCAATAATTCCATAATATTTTTCTCCTTTCCTTAATTTAAATGATCAGTTGAGATGCAGGTTATTCCAAGGCAATGCCTGCTGGATAAGCCGTTACTCAGTTTGCCTGAGATGTTTGTGAAATGGGAATCTTGGGTTTGGACCACTTTGTATTTGAGCTTCTGCAAGAGCAGTGTGTTCCATGGAGAGGTGCGGAACAAAGAGGGTTTGATTCCTCAAGGTTTAATCCAGAAATAATTGACAAAATTATGCATGTTGTATAAACAGAGCAAAGACCATACTGCTTATCCCTTCTTGTTCTCCCAATCCATCTACTTGTTTGCAACCGATTTACCATTTTACTGCCAAGATAATCCTCTAAATGCATTAAACACATCATGTGCCAAACTTTTTTTCCCCTCCTAACTTCCTCTAGTGTTGTGTATGGTTGTCCCTGTTCAAGTTCAGGCCTCTCAGCTTCTAGCAACGTAGCTTATAAAATCAAAAGGTCCTCCAAGTTGTTGTTGGCAATTTGTGAGGCAGACAGGACTGTCCCCTTGGGAGAAACACACTCATTTGCTTGGAATCAGAACACAGAGCTAAATTCATACTCTCCTGGATGGGATAGCTGAAAAAGCATCTTCAGTGATGTGATTTATGTTGCATTGCAAGTCAAAAACTATGGATATGCCCTGGTGAACTGCTCCTCCACCTTCAAATGCAGCTGTGCAGTTATGGGGGTTATAAAGCAAACTGAGACAACAAATGCATGAGAAAATGCTGCTGTACAAAACACACCTCCATGTGCATTTGGACTGTTGGACACAGAGCACAGAACAAGGCAGAGTGCAGGGACCAGAGGGGGAAGGTGAGGTGGCAATTGCTTCCCTTGTGCCATGGTTGGGTGGTTGCAGCTCATGCAGGAGGAGAGGAAGCTGCTCTTTAAGAGCTCAGTTGCAGCTCTTCAGTTCTGAGGATGTAACGGGACCCAGATCAAGCTGTGCCTAAACATAGACATCCCTCTCACTGAAAACAATCCCTTTCACCCCCTGTCCTCAAGTGCGGCTGATGAAATGCAAGAAAGGGCCTGGGAGACTTTTTCTCTCTAAAGCTGCTCAGACTGTGGTCAGAGTTAATTTGGCACAGATTTAGGCCTTCTGCTAGAATAGTTTCAAAAAGAAGGAACAGGGCTGAAAATAAGCAGTAACTGAATGTATATGCAAAGCCCCTGTGTGTGCTTCCTCAAACACAGGTACCTGTTTTCTTTCCCCAGTTAACGAAAAACATGCTGTGGAGGAGTTGGTTAAATACCTGCATATGTGTGAGCACATCTGTGACTCCTCTGCCTTTGTCAATTCAGTGTAGCATCAGAGACTTTGGGTTTTTCTAAAGAAAAAAATCCACCTACCTGAATTCACCTAAAATTTGCTAATTCTTTTCAAAGCTCCCACTCCTGTATTCCTCTGGGAGACGCTGCATAACCCACATCACTGCAGTCAGGCCCTGCAGTGGGGTGGGAGCTCAGGGGGTGGGTGAGGATGAGCAGGAGAAGTGAAACCACAGGTCTTGGTCTCACATGCACGTTCACCTCTGTCTGCTTTTCCTCACCCCTTTGCCAATTCAACACCAAAGGAGTGCCAGCCTGTGTGTTGCTCAGTCCATAAAGGAGCTCAGCACCCATTGCCAGGAGAGGGTAAGTGGCAGAGTCAAGACTTGACAGGCCAGGAGTGCCCAGTACGTGCTGCCCTAATGTCCAGCAGTGCTGTCCAGCTCTGGAGGGTCAGGAATAATGTCACATCCTGCTCCCAGCCCAGCCCAGCACTTCCTACACATGACCATGCATTGTCTGTACTACCCCACATTCATTAGGACCCACATGGAACCCTGCAATGGTGAGCCCTCACGGGCACACAGAAATGCACCCAGTCCTCTTTGGTTTGTTATTCCACAGGCTCCACAGGAATGCCACAGTTAGAAGGTTGCCAGCTATGTTTTTTCACTACTCAGTTTAAAAAAAAAATTGAGAAACAGACATTCTTGGCAGGAAGAAAACCAGCAGAAGAGGACAGATAGGGCAGGAGGGGCACACTGCAATCAAAAAGTTGGGGTTTTTTTTCTTATTCAGGCATGACTTCCCTTTCAAAGTTATGAAAACCTATTCTTGCATTCACTGTCTTTTAGAATTCCTCTGAAGGCCTGAGACTGTCGTGCATCTGTCATCGCAGACCTGAAAAACCCCGCTGGAGGCTTTGCCTGTGCTTCCTGTCAGGCAGAGCGAGCACCCACAATGATGAGGCATTACTTCCTCCCCAGCCTCTCCCAGCCCAGCACAGCTCGGTGAAAAAAGTGAGAAAGTCCTGCACTGAGTGGCACCAGGAACTGAGCCTTGTGTCTGAACTGCAGCTACAGCACTGACACTGCTCCCTTAGTATGTAAAAATCAGAGTTCATTTACCTCTCAGTGCCTTTGCCTCTGTGGAGCACAGCTTGAAATGGAAACTCTTAACTGAACAAGCAGCTGCAAAGCCTGTTTGCAGACGAGGCAAGTGATATTACAAAGCCTTTACCCGTTGCGTGTGTGTACCACCAACTTCCTGCAACAGCGAGAGGTGCCTGAGGAGGAAGACAGAGCAGCACAGCAGAAAAGTCTCGCCAAAAATTGTTAGTCTATGATATTTTAGACTAACTCCTTCACTTCACTTGTTACCAAAATTCTCGTCAACAAAAAGTAGCTTGAAATGTTTGATTCTTAGGCACTTTGTTTGTGTCCTTCTCCTTCAGAAAGTAGGACAAGCTCAAAGGCTCAAGCTGCACAGGACTTGACAATACAAAGAACCCTTCTAACTTTAAACTGAGCTGAACCCGTCTTTTACCTTCCCATGATGCTCAAGAACACACAGCTCTATCTAGTGTTGCTCTGAGCAAGATCCTATAAATACTGAAGTCTTTTCTGCAGTGGAGGAATCATGAAGATCCAGTGTTACTCTATAGAGTAACAGCTTTGCCTTCCCCTCCCTTTCCTCTTCTCTCACTGCACTGTTTGAACTTGGAGGAGAGGACACAACTCTCGGTCCTAGTCAAACCCTGAAGGAACTCAACATCAGTTTTGTATTATTAAAAACAGGATGGGATTAAAATGTGTGCTCAAGTGAGTCCTTCCTCTAGCATAACTTCCAGTTACAGAAAGATGATGAAAAGCTGCTTGAATTAGAGTATGACACAGATATGTAACATAAAACTATGTAAACAGCTTTGAAATAGAACCAAATGTCCCCCTCCCAATGAAATGCCTTAACCAAGGTGACAATCTCCCTGCTTTCTTTGCACCTAATCATCTTGCTGTGTCTCATGAAAAGCGAAAGAAATTTAACAGGAAGGGAGGAGACAAGTGTCAGCAGCCTCTAGAAACTTGTAGCCTTGTGGCCATGATGCCTTTTTGGGAGGTGAAACATGTTGGGTTTCAAGGTTTCCAAGTGAGAAACGGAAAGCAATTGCTCTTTCGTGGCAACAGTGGCAGATCCACTTCCCAAAGTGTCTCACGAGACACAAAATAACCCCTCTGTTCTCCAACGGGGCCGTGCTTTGGTCCAAGACAATTTTTAGAGCTGTGAACTAAATGTGGAATGTACACACTGCCTGCTGGTTACATGCATGAACAGGGAAATTATAAGACGTGAGGTAATGGTTTTAAACTAACAGAGGATAGATTTACAGTAGATACAAAGAAGAATTTTTACAATGAGGCACAGGTTGCCCCATCCCCAGAAACACTCAAGGTCAGGTTGGACGGGGCTCTGAGCAACCTGATCTAGATAAAGATGTCCTTGTCCATTGCGAGGGGGTTGGATTAGATGACCTTTAAAGGTCTCTTTCCACCCAAACTGTCCTGATTCTGTGATAAGCCACCAGCACCAGGCTCAGGGAGCGCTCCCTGGGCTGCTGGTGGCTGCAGGTCTTGCGCAGAGCTGGGCTCTGTGTGATGCAAGGAGTGGGCACTTAGGTCAGGAGAGAGTTTAGTGCTGCAATCCTGGACCTGCCCTACCTACTGCCATCTCCAGATCCAGCTCCAAAGGCAAATGTTGGAATTTGCAGCATGGTGATTTTAAATGAGAGCTAGGAACTGCGTGACAGGCAAACACTCCACACCGACTGCAAACAAAACTCGAAAAGTTCTTTGTGTCAACACACTGTATTAAAGAAATCCCTCTTTGGTTGCTCACACCAGATTTCAGCCCTTCTCTTTTCCTTTAGGACTTAAACACAAACCCCTGGCCATTCAGTAGCAGCTACTGCAGTCGAGAACAGTAATGTTGACACAAGAAGATACAACAGCAAATTAGGTGCTCAGCATCTTACTGTCCTGTAGTAAAAAATAGCAATAAAATTCACTTCTAGATTAAAAGCCTTTAAAATTATCTTTTTGGATACCACATGCAGTATATAAGATGGTAAGTGCGTTTTACTACAATTAAATCGACTGGACTGCATTCGGTTCTTATTTGTCCTGGTGTAAATTTGGAACAACTCCACAGGCTTGAACTGAAACAGATGATTTACACTGAGCTGAAATGGAGCACGTGTCAATTTTAGGGGTCATTTAGGAGCGCAGCTGGATAACAGAGTCTGGGAACTTTGAGTGAAGTTGAACACAAACCATTTCACAAGTTCCTCAAATGAACCTGAACAGACTATCAGCATTTTCAAATAACTTTTACTGCCATGGTCTTTTTATTTTGAACACAAACCAGCCTTTTTCTCCTTTCCTATCCAATCACACATTGCAGCAGATTAAAATATTTTCCTGGTTGATTGTATTATGCTTTGCATGTGGGAACTGGGTTTTAATACCGCCAGATATGTTTGCTATTTGGTGTGTGTTTCTGAATCAACTGAGTTGTTAAGATAATGAACAAGTCCATGACCAGAGCTGTCATTAGATAAGTGACCCTTTTTTTTCTGTAAGGCACATTTTTGCTTGCAACAGGTAACGGTGGTTGTTTTGTTTGTACTTTAATCTCCAGCAGTCTAAACTGTGATATTATGTTAAAAGTACGCTCGCAGAGAAGCAATCTGAAAATCTGTCCATCTTTACAATCTTTAAATATCGGTTTGGTTTAAGTTTACACAGCAAAATCTGCTGGAGAGGAAGAAGAAAAGAAATGGGCGCACACTCACCAGAGCAGCATTTTACAGCAATAAACGCAGTTTCTGGTTATTCGCCTGAAGTTACGAAAGGCCGGGGCCGGGTTTGGGCTCAGTCCCAGGCCGGTGCCCCGGCGCGGTCCCATCCCAGGGCTGCAGAGGAACCGCCCCTGGCAGCCCGACTGGGACCGGGGAAATGGAAGGCACAAGGTGGAAGCCCCTTACCTGCGGTGTCGTACAGGTTCAGAGTCACCTCCTTCTTCCCCACCGTCACGCTCGTCGTGTACTTCTCGAAGACGGAGGGCGCGTATTGCTGCAAAGGGAGGAGAAGGATCGCGATGATCTCAGAGACCTTTTCCGACCTCACTGATCCTGTGGCTCTGAGGAGCGGTTCTGGTGGGCTCCAGGGGCTGGGGCCGGCCCCGGCCGCGGCCCCCCAGCCCCGCGGGGGTGGCCGCCCCTCACCTCGGGGAAGGAGCCCTTGGCGTACACCATGAGCAGCGACGTCTTCCCGCAGCCCCCGTCCCCCACGATCACCACCTTCACCTCCTTCCTGCCCGACGGGGCGGCCGCGCTGCCGCGGGGCTCCCCCGCCGCGCCCTCGGGCACGGCCCCGTTGGCCGCTTCCATGGAGCGGGAGCGGGACGGGGAGCGGGCACGGCGCGGCCGGGACGCGGCTCCTCTCGCCCCTCAGCGCCCGGGGCGGGCAGAGCCGCCCGTGCCCCAGCGGGGATTGGCCGCGCCGCCGCCGCCGCCTCAGGTGCCGCCGGGCCCCGCCCGGGTCCCCCCGGGGCGCCTGTGGGGCCTCTCCCGGGGCCTCTCCCGGGGCCCCGAGTTTCCCCCACGCCGGTCCGGAGCCGCCCTCAGGCGTGAGGGGTCACCACGGGCACGGCCCCGGTGAAACAGCTCTGGGGCCCTCTCGGCACCGCCTCCCCCAGACCCACCGGGGCCGCTCCCACCCTGCACCCTCAGAGAGCGCCCGAGGCCCCTGTCCCCCTCCGCCCTGCCATCCGCAGCCAGCGCTGAGGGGATGCTGCCAGTCCAGCCCCGATGTCTGTCCAGTCCTCAAGGCCGAGGGGAGAGCGGTGCCAGCCACACCGGGGGGGAGGGGGAGCAGAGACCCCCGAGGTACCCTCTGAAAGGGGCCTTGGTGCTGGCAGTGACTCACTGCTTGTTTTCTGTTGTATTTATTGCTCATGTAGGAGCTGACAGCTCTGCTCATCATCCGCTCATCACCTTCTCACCATCCAAGGTGAGCTGCGACGAAAATAACTGGAATTTCACATTTTAATTGCAGAGATGTGGTGGCCCCAGGCACCCACATGGTGGGGTTTTGTACTGTGGAAAGCCAGGGATCACAACAGCTGGGTAAGTTTGGCTCTGGAAGGGGATCAGAATCCCTGGATATGTTTGGCTCCAATACACAGGTCAGGGGAGTGACACTGCATTTGTGACAGACCAGCTCAGACATGAGTCCACCACCATTCTGCACACAAAAATTCGTGTTTCTTTCCAAACAGGGATTCACAGTGTGCTGCTCCATCTCAAACAAATCCCATCAGTTCTTAAGAAATCAAAATTCTCTCTAAATTTTTTTGAAATACCACTTGTGGGAATCGCAACAGCCCCCCGAGGGCATTACTCGAGTGTGGTAAGATCGTTTAATTCAACTAAGGAAAAAAAAAACCCAACGCAATTCGAACAGGGTTTTGCATTTCCCCTGCACGGTTGTGTCACTAGATGGCCTTCCAGACCCAATGCAAACACCACCGCGCTCCGCAGCTCGGGCACGGGAGACCCTGCTTTGTGCAGAGGGCAAACAAAAAGCTAGAAAAGGATATTTTGGCAACAGAGAAGAGAAGCGACCCGTAAATACCCAATAAAGTGTCATATAATTCAAATTACAATAATAAAAAGGCAGTCAAAGCCACACCCGTTTAAAACTCACCATCTTACTGAGGAAAAAGTTGATGCAATTATGTAGAATCTGTCAAAAAGATGCTTTATGGACCAGTGTTATAAATCTTATGTGGAACACAGTAAAAGCCATCAGCTCCTGTCAGCTGTAATGGCTGAGGGCTTTCCAATGGCACAGGAATGGATGGGCCAGGAAAAATTTGTTTTATCCTGAAATGATTTATTTGTACCCGGCTCAAAACCAGCATCACATTATGTATGACACAATCAGCAGATAGAGTTAGTAGTCTTCCTGTAACTGAGAACTGTAATTCAGGGTTGTTTTTTTTCAAGTCCATTATTGCAATAAAAGGGGTTTTTTGGGGATAAAAGTAATTTGAGCGCCACAGGTAGGCTTTTCTTGAGTTTGAGTGCTTTTTTTTTCTCAAGTCTCACAAAACAATCTTTACATTTCTCAAAGCTTTGTTTCCTTTCCCATTTTATTGTTAAGGAAACTTTGAGATCTGTACACCTTTAGATTCAGTAGGAAATCATATAAAATGAGCAGATGATAAAATCAACTGTAAACACTGCAAAGACTGTTTTTAAGTAATGGATGTTCTATTTGTAACAAGTCAACTTCTTACTGATGAAATATAACATTTCAGTGTCTCAGTTACTTATTTTTAATTATCAAGCATACAGTGCTTTGGGCATATCAACTCCTGTGCAAAAGCTACACGTAATTTGCTGACTCTGAAAAAGCAAAGTCTAATTAGGAGTTGTGCCACTGATTTAAATGGAAGGAGATTCAGCCTCCTATTAGTAAAACTCAAATCTAATCATTATTAATTGCAAATGTCCTTTTCCTACTTCTGTTTTGGCCTGTATATTGATTTTGGCACAAGTTGTTTCATCAAAACCTTACACAATATGTGTGTGTGGAGATTCACAGAGAGCACAACAAAATCAAGGCTTTAATGGGGTATGGCAAATATCCATGTTCTGATCTTGGTACCAATTTGTTGCTTGATGATTGCCAAGGAAAAAATTAGGAAGGAGTGAAAGGTTAGCACACGGCTTAGAAAAACTGCTGGGAGTTTATGATTTTCAAGATTTTTTTAGATGGTATTGATGGGTAATTCAGGTTAGTTATGAGAACACCCAAAAAAGACTCACAGATTAGGTTTAATATTGAAGATTTTTACAAAATAGAGTGATCAAAGAAGTCAATAATCCCATTTTTCAAAATACCAAGCCTGGGGAAAAAGTGCTTGCAACCTCCTGGACTGTTCTGGTACCATGGAAGAACCTCAGCCATGTCCTTAGTCTGACCTAAGGAAACAGCACCAATGCCCTGTGCTGCCTCCTTCTTTGTCCCTTGTGATGTGCTTGAAGAAGTGGAGGAAACCGAGACTTAATAATACTAAAAGCTCGTGAGTTTTGTGACTATAGAGAGTCAAGTGAGGGAGTAGAATCATAAATGTAAGCCTTTCTGCTCAAAAAATACTTTTAAATTATAAATATCTTAACAACAAGTACGTTAAATAATAAATATCAACAAAATATTCTGGTTAGCTACATCCTTCTGTTTAGAGGAACTCTGAATACTGTAAAAGTTTTAAGTTTCCAATCAATTAAGCTCTAGCACAGTGCAAGTCCTTAGGCTAAGCAGCATGGTTTGCAGGAATATTTCTAATGGAAAATACAAGTATTTTAGCTCACCAGCAAAGTCTCACTTCTGGTACTTTTTGTAGCCACAGTTGCAGAGAGGGGTTTGCACGTGCCATCTCCTGCATACTCCTATTTGGTCATATAAACTGGATAAGAATGGGCACCTGTTCTTCCTAAATATCTTTAGAACTATGTTTTTGAAATACACTTAATTTTTTCTTGATAACACAGACCCCAGTCACAAAGACCTCAACATAAAGTTGACAAGAAGAACAAGCAGCCCCATTTATGTCCAAGGAAATATTCATAAACTTAGTTAAGAACGTAAATAACAAGACAGAGCCTGAAATATTTATTTTTTTAACATTACCAGTGATATTAATTATTTGTGTTTTCAGCTAAGAATTCCCACTGCAGCATGTACACAAAGAGCAAGAGGCAACACCTTGAAAAATTTACAGTAGGAAAGACAGACCCTAAGGAACGGGACTTACCATGTAAGTAGAGTGATAAATTTCAGATGCTGCACAAGGCCAGCAATTGTTTGTCATGTGCACAGACCCTTATTGAGGGACAGTCTCTGCCCCACAGAATTTAGGCTGGGCAGGGCAGAGAGGGAAGGGGAAACTGTAATGTAGGAGAGCTGAACTGCAGCTGCACACACAAAGTTATGGTGACAGTATCAGTGTAAGAGAAGGCCATGACACAGCAGGTGTCCACTCAAGGTGATTCACTTTGTTTACAGAACAAACTTACAAAATTGTTTTTCAGCTGTGCTTTTCCTCGCAGTGCCAGCACTGCTTTGACCCTCAGTAAACCCTGGAAATACAGTTTTCAAAATCAAAGCTCCCAGTCTCCTTCACTTTCAGCTGCTTCTCTGTCTCCGTTTCTGCAGTTTCTTGCTGTTTCTCTCGCACATGCAGAGCTCTACCATCTGGTCCTCATGGCCTGATATTTTACACACACGCCCCCACCCCGAAAAATCCCTTGGGCCACATGATTCACCATCTATTCAAACCTTGCCATGTGCCTGTTTTTTTTGTGTAGTAGCCCCTACTGATGTAAATCCCTTGTTCCATAAGGGCTCTCAATTGCTTTTTTCACTGAAGGCAAGGTGGCTGTGACACCTGCCAGTTTCTAGGACATTTAACCCAACCTAAAACATTATTACACTGTTGTTTGGCTGAGTAGGAACCATATTTTTTTCCCAGTGGGAAGTGCTGCCAGAAAGGCATTAACTTTCTAGACTATTAAGTAATATGGAAAAATGATATTTCAATAAGAAAATTTCCTTTCTGCCTTTTTATGCCTCAGAAATAGTTCCTGTTTCACTTGGCTTAAGTAGCCTGTGCACTAAATCAGTTCCAAAATCTTTCGATAAACTAAATAAAATCTGTCCAAATGCTACCAGAGAGTTCAGAGGGCCGTGAAACAAAACAGGACAAGGGTCTGCAAAGGGAGGTGTGAGCTGAATTAAGACACACAACTCAGCAAAATCAGGCAGCGAATATTCAGGCACTTTGATGTAGTTTGGACAGATTTTATTCAAAAACCACACACTGATGACTACCTAGAGAGCAGCTATTTATAAGGAACACAGACTGTTTCTTGGGTTGTTTTCTCTGGTATGCTTTAAATCAGGGGTGCCAACTACGTGGGCCAGGCATGGCCTACCTGATACAGGCATGGCCAACATGCTGCATTTAGAATCCTACCTTTCATTTGAAACTGAGTTCTTGGCTTTACAGCTGTGGGGGAAAAAAACCACCCCACTTTACAAAGTGAAGTGGGTGCAAATCGATGTGGTAAAGCCTTGGCCTGATACTGCAGGGGCTTAGGGGCAGTTTCAAGTTTCTGTTGCTCACTAAAGTGTGAACTCTCAAGCCAAATTCTGCTGTGAAAAATGGGTAACACAAGGTTAAGATCATCCCTTGCTTTTCTGGAACATCAAGCACAATGACTGATCTCTGAAAAGCATGAAATGAACACACCAGTGCCTGCCAACACCTCCATGGCTCTGCCCCCGCCGAGCTGGGTAATGTGTGTCTCCCAGATGTGCTGGTACAGCTTCCCTGAGCCATGGGGAGGAAT